TCTCTGCATGCTTCCTAAGACTCCATGCGGATTTTAACCTCAAAATAGAACATGTAACCGAAAACAATGGGAGGAAAATTAAAGCAGGCCCCTCGATTTTCCATGAATCCAACCAACCGAGGTTTCATTGTTCGAAGCTTTTCTAAAGAATGGACAGGAAGTTCCGGCGAACCGAAGGAAGTACCAGCACACCGGATTGTTCCCCGGGGTCCTCCCCACCATGGAGTAAGTCATCATTCCGATCTTTGGGCCAAACCAAAGTTCCTAGTTGGTAGGGGAGAAAAGGACAGGAGGAGGTAGTTTAAGGCACTCTTTCTTTAAATGTTTCTACTGATTTTTAGAGAGAGAAAGGGAGAGGGATAGATAGAAACACCCATAAGAGAGAAACCTCATTGATAGGCTGCCTCCTGCACGCCCCCTCCGGGGGTGGAGCCTGCAACCTGGGCCTGTGCCCTGACCAGGAACTGAACCATGACCTCCTGGTTCATGGGTCAAAGCTCAACCACTGAGCCAGCTGGCTGCCCAGTACTATTTCTGACCCACTCATCCTATCAACAGCCAGTGCTTGCCTCTCGCCACCTCCTGGGTGCCAGGCACAAGCAGTCCATGCGCATCCTCTGGTTCGCTCCGCCCCGAGGCGGGCTCTGCGGGCGGGGCCAGTCACACAAAGGCCGCAGGGCTGGTCATGAAACCGCTTTCTGTGTCCCCAGGAAATCTCACTTTAATGTGTCTTCTAACAAAACGAAAGGGAGGAACACCTGGTGCCTTTTACCCACACAAGCCCTGGCTCTGAGAATAAACCCGCGTGTGAGGCGGGAGCAGGCCTGGCGGCAGAGCCGCGTGGGGAGGGGACAGAGGCGGCAGGAAAGGCTGCTGCCCTGGCTTCTGCTTCTGCTTCTCGGAGGCAGGCTCCGGAGGATGGCCCTGGAGGTCTGGGCCGATGTCCTCGGCCGCGAGGGGGAAGAGGGGGGCTTCCGGCTCTGCTCGCCCCTCCTCCCCAACAGCGGCTTTCTGCAGAGACAAGTGACAGCTGCGACCGGACGGGAAGTGCGGTTATGTCCACGTTCTCCACTCGCCACCCACCCTGTGCTTCTAATTAGGGGTCACTGCCATCTCTACACGCGTTTGTGGGACCTTTAACACACCCTGAGACTATATAAAAACACCAGCCTGCTGGAACTTGCATCAGCAGTTACAAGGTTTTTCTTTTCTTTTTCTACGTTGGTGAGTAAAATGTAGGACCTGACTTGCAGGTTTAGGATTGTAAAGATCTCCCTCCCTGTGTCCCCCAGACACGGCCGCTGGTCAAGAAGGGAGCTGATGCCGAAACTGGTTTGGCTCAGTGGATAGAGTGTCGGCCTGCAGACTGAAAGGTCCCAGGTTCAATTCCAGTCAAGGGCATGTACCTTGGTTGCAGGCACATTCCCAGTGGGGGGGTATGCAAGAGGCAGCTGATCAATGTTTCTCTCATCAATGTTTCTAACTCTCTATCCATCTCTCTTCCTCTCAGTAAAAAAATCAATAAAATATATTTTTAAAAAGAAGGAGGAGGAGGAGGAGGAGGAGGAGGGAGCTGATCTTTCTTGGTACCCCAAAGCCCTCACATTTGACCGTTCAAGCAACTGAACCTTCCAATTATTTAGAAACTCCCCAAAACATCTACGGCATATGTAAATTATAAGGCCCACAGCTTTTAAGAAATGTTTTGTGGTCCAATTAGTTTCAGAAGTAAACAGGAGTGCTGAGAGACAGGGAGATGGAGGGGGCGAGAGAGCAGGAAGGAAGGAATGAAAGTGGGGACTTCCGGATGACTGGCCCGCACGCAGCCCCAGCCCTGGAGGCCCCCTCGGAGGTCAGAGGTCACGACCACAGCTGGCTTCCCGGCACGCAGCCGTAGGAAGAAGAGCTGGAAAACATGACTTCCTGGCTTCCCTCTGCAGCTCTGCCTGCCAGCAAGCAGCTCTGTCCTACACTGTAACCCCCCCTTCCTCTCCCTACCTTCCCCCCTCACCCGCCACACACACACTGCTGGTTCCTTCCCATCAGCAACTATGTGTACTAACACTTCCCACCTTTAAACAAAGAAAAAAGGACCCGTGAGCCCACGTCATCCTCCAGGGACCACTTCCCTCTTCCTCCTCCTTCAAAGGCCGTTGTCACTCGGCCTCCCTCTTCGCTTCCCACTTCTACCGGAACCCTCAGTCCACTCCAATCTTGCTCCTGAGCCTGTCACCAAGTTCACAGCCACCTCCACCTGCAGTCTCCTTTCACTCACCCTTCAGCCAACTTTAAAGCATCCACGTATGAAAAAACGGCATGTTCCACCCTCGGCAAACACCGGCCCCTACGAGAGCCATGACTCAGGTGCGCGGTGTCACAGGACAGGAGACCCACCCGCCCTCTGCGGGCAGGAGCACCGTCACCAGCCTCTCGGAGACAGGGAGCCAGGCCGTGGGGGTGGGGGTGGTGGTGAGAGGGTGGGGGGGCTATTTCAGAGAGGGATGCAGGAATCGGGACAATAAATGAAGAAGTTTAGCAAATAACCCTCAGCCCCTGCCTAAGAGGAGTTATAACATTAAATGTTCATAAGCAAACACTGGGCATCTTTTACTTGGAGCGGCATTGGGGCCTGAGCCCATGTGAAAGTGGTTGTGCTGCCCAGCTCAGCACCCATCTGGTGCCCAATGTGACTGGGCGGGACAGAGCGCTCCCCGGCGACGGGACAGGGCGAGGTCCCGCCACCACCCTCTCCGAGGCCCAGCCACCGGCAAACTCCTGCCATCCGGTCCGGATGTTGGCTTCACTCAAAACTCCAGATGAAAGCAGCTCCCCCCTCTGCCCTTGAACTCGGGGCCAGGCCTCTGGGGAGCAGCTGTGGTCTAGCAGAGCCCGAGGTCAGCGCAGCGACACGATCGGCTCCGGAGAGGGCTAAGAGGAGCTCGCCCTCGGCCGGCGCGGGGGCCGGGAACTGCCGGGCCGCCCGGAGCCCGTGCTGCTCACCTTCCGCGGCGGCGCCGGCGCAGGCATGAGACGCGCTTATCAGTTCCACTCCTCTGCCACCCGCCCTCCGCCCCAGCTCGGCGTTGGGAGAAAATGACAGGGATGGATGCTGCTCCCGTCAGACCCGCCGAGACGCCCAGAGAGCCAGACGGCCAGAGGCCAGCGCTGCCTCCGGCAAGCGTCCATGCCGACCCCGAAGGCTCCGGCGGGACGGGAAGGACACAGACCGACAAGAGCAGAGCAGGAAGATGGGGCCGCACCGGGGGTGACCCCAGCAGGAGCCCCCCGGGAGGGCACCCCAGGACCGGCCCCCCCCAGAGCCAGGCCTGCCCCGCCCCACGCACAGTGCTGCTTCGTATCTAACTCATCAGGAGACACTGGCTTCTCACACCGGGAGCAGGTTAATAGCTTCCCCAGAGCTCCGTGGCACAAGCCACCCCCAATGATCCCACTCCATGACAGGCGCTGTTTAGTCCGGCCGCACTCTGTCCAAAGGGATTCCCTCGTCCTTCCTCGTTTAAAATGTTTATAAGCTTTCAAACAGCGGGAGGGGAACACGGAGCATTTTAACAGGCTCCTCCCCTCCCAACGGGCCCCGTGCGGCTGACCCCCACCCCCGCACCGTCCTCAGCGGGGCGGGTCCCGCCCACCCCTCAGCCTGGGGCAGCTGGCAGTTTCTGGACACACTTTTGGTTGTCCTGTTTGGGGGCTGGTGCCACTGGCACCTATAGGTAGAGGCCGGGGATGCTGCGGAACTTCCTGTGATCACAGGACAGCCTCCCGGCCCAGGGATGTGGTTAGCCCGCCCCACACGCCCATCATGCCGAGGCTGGGACCCTGCCGCGGGGCTCCTGCCGGGCCAGGCCTGCAACCCACCCCTGGGAGCCAGACACTCATCTGATCACCTCAGCAGGCTTCCCGTGCTGGCTACGGAGGCCTCTTCTGTGTAGTCTTGGTGCACCCTCTCAACGAACAAGCACAAAACGCTGTCGCCCTGACCGGTGTGGCTCAGTGGCTAGAGCGTCTGTCTGCCTGCAGACTGAAGGGTCCCAGGTTCGATTCCGGTCAAGGGCATGTACCTTGGCTGCAGGCACATGCCCAGTAAGGGGTGTGCAGGAGGCAGCTGATCGATGCTTCTCTCTCATCTGTGTTTCTAACTCTCTCTCCCTCTCCCTTCCTCTCTGTAAAAAAAATCAATAAAACATATTTTAAAAATAAAATGCTATTGTAAACAACAAGAGGGAAGTAAGACCACTTGGGAATCTCAGAATCCAGGACCAGGGTCACTGTTTACTAAACCCTCTGATGTTCCTCTGCATGTCTTAAAGCTCCACCCCAATCGGAGTTTATTTATGAAAACAACAAAAGAACCAGTTCCGGCCATCAGTGCTACTGCCCCACCACCGACATCTGCCGAAAAGCAGGGCAAGAAGGGCCGCTGAGCGGTGGTGGTGTGTCCGTCAGAGCGCTGACCTGCCACCCCCAAGGACGGGCCTCTGTCCCTTCACTTCCCGGAGCTCGGTCTCCTCACCAGCAAAGCGGAGATGCACCACCGGCCCTCCCAGTGCAGCCGTGAGCTACATGAGCGGCCGGGAGGAAACTGCTGGAAGCCGGAACAAGCTGGGCGATTGTATGTGACATGTACACGTGGGGGACACCCTATGACAATCACCAAGGGCCTTTCAGACACTTGGATCCTTTTCATGAAACGTCACAGCGAGAAGTGACTGGAAATCAATGAAGCCAGCCTGCAGGTCTTACAGAGGGTGAGGATGAGCATCCCGGAGGCCGGGGCCTGGGCCAGGGGCGGCCGGACAGGCGCAGGCCCCTGACCCCCAATCCAGGACACGCCCTGCCTGCCCCCCGGTGCTGTGCCCGCCCTGCTGAGGGCGTGGAGGGAAGAAACACGTCTCACACACAGGCTCAGAGGGCCCGGCGCACAGGAGGCGGAGATCTGAGGAATCCGTGAACGGAAGGGAGGAAGCGGAATCCGGACTTACTACGTCGTAGCCCGTTGGGGCCCGGTTCCGGGAGGCCACCACCCCAACTCCGGTGATGGGGTCCATGGACGTCTCCGGCAAGGCTTCCGACAGGTCTCTGACTTCCGGCATGGTGGACTTGTCCTGGTTCCGAAAAGGAAGAGAAAGCACAGGATTCACACTGAGCGCTCGCCGCGAACAATGCAAAGTCTCACGCAGACAGAGCGGCCTCTCCGGCCGACATCCTGAGCGCCACTTCCTGAGAGCGCGCAGGAGCCCTGGCCCCACCTGGCTCTTTCCTCAGAGCAAGAATTCGAAGCATCACTGGCCTCTGCTTGTCTCAAGTTAGCTCTGAACACCGAGCTAACACACTTAATGAGGGCTTGTCCGTGCTCCGAGTATGTATGTAATTTAAACTCAGACCCAAAGGCAAACCACTCTCCAATCTCCCATCTAGCTGCCTGACTTCTGAACAGACACCAGGAACCTCTCTGAGGATAAATCAGACTTGACCAAGTCTACCCCCACCTTGCATTTCTCTCCCTTGTACTAGTTCCTATGGAGGTGCAGGCTGCCAACCCTGCAGCCTCTTCCACCGCCAAGGGGGGCTGCACAGTAGACAGAGCTTTGCAAACACACACCTGGGAGAACGTCTCCGGCATGGAGGCAAAGGAGTGGTCAAGTCCAGGCCACGGCCTTGAGCAAGCACACAGCCTTGGCACTGACAGTCACAGAGCTGCTGTGAGAACCAAGAGTCACGTGAAGGAAGGTCCTGGAGAGGTCCCTGGCACACAGTAGGCCCTCAACGAAGAGCAGATGAGGCAGGTGGGCTTGGGGATACACATGTCCAGTGTAAATTACCAGGAACGTGGTAGGCACTGAAAGGTCCCTTTTCTGTGTTTAATCCTGCAGGGCATGGGCGTTGACTCAAAGCTACACACTAACAATGACCATAATTCTTGCTGGGCGCTTTGGGGAAAAGGGAGGGGAAACAGAATTATTATTCTGCCGCCGACTGCCCCTTGATGTGACCAAAGGAGACAAGCAGTATATAGAGCACTGGGTCTGGGCAGCTCCAGTGGCAGTGCACCAGAAAGCAAATAAAAGAGGTAACACCTTATGTAAATGGCTTTTAGTACTTTTAAAAGGACAAGCCTCGAAAAAGAGCAAGTTACATTCCACCTCCTTCTGCAGCAATTACGTTCCACTGGCTGCAGGTCTGCTAGATCCCTCAAGGCTGGTTACGGCTTCTAAACAAATTGAACACTCCGCCTACCCAGGCAGGCAGGAGGGATAGTCTGAGCTCTCAGCCCAGAATCAGAAAAGGCAGAGGCTGTTAAAAACGAGTGTGCCTCCTAAATAGGAACAACTAAAATGCTACATGCAGGTCCCCCACATCATCAGCATCGCAGGACCCACAAAAGGCTCCGGAAGCAGACTTAATGCAATGCAGCCAAGTCTCCAATCAAGGTATTTCTTAGCCTGGCAGCCGCTGCACTCCCAGCGTCTGTTTATGATGAAAGCAAACCAAGTTATGCTTAAGTCTGATGAAAAGAAGCTTCTGGGAGCTCAGGGCAGGGCCCAGGATACCAGGCTGCATCATTTTCTCTTTTTAAAATGTCATTTGTTAGATAGATTTATCTGCATAAAGCACAGGGCTTAGCGCTCCCCACACACAGTAGGTATACAGTACATATGTACTGAATGAATGAATGAATGAATGTCCCCATGCCACACATGCCCCCAATAGAGAAGGTCTGTCATTCAATATCTGCACCAGCACAATCCAAAGCTGTAAAGACCAAAAAATATCTTCACTTGGAAAATTCCCTCTTCTCGGTAACACAATAACAACAATGCTGCAGTTTGCAAAATATGGGTACCTGCTGTTGGTGACCAAAATGCTTTGCCATTAACAACTCATTAACAGAATGTACGAGTTCTACCAGCGCTAAAATATCACGCTGTGAATTTAATAAAGAACATGCGAGGTAAGTTTTTTTTATTATTATTAAGATAGTACTATCTGAGAGGGGAGGGGGAGGGAAGCATGGGAATAAGAGAGAAATATTTCCTTTGCTGATAGATTCCAATATCCTCCACGAGGCACTGACGACAATGGCTCGCTCTGCTCTGGGCGCTGGCAGGTGCAGGCAGGAACCTGCCTGCGGAGGATGCGCTCCCAGAATGCACCGCGCCCGGCAGCCGGTCCAAGATGGCCGCCCCCGCTGCGCAGACAAAGGGCCCGGCCGCGTGGGCACGGCCCGGCCCGCAGGAGGGAGGCCGGCTGCAGAGCATCCCGCACGCTCGCCTTCGCCTCTCCCCTCCCGGCTGCTCACCCTGGGGATGAAGGCGGCCTTTGTGAAACACAGACAAATGGCTCCGCGCGGCCAGCTGGGCGGCGGAGGAAGCGGCGGCGGCGGCAGCAGAGGAAGCTTTTAATGAGAAACGCCCAGGATAGCCATGGCAGCGGCAATCACTCACGGCGGCTCGCCCCCGTTACATATTTTCTGACTGCAAATTACCCCTAACAGCGCCTCCGCCGTCACTTCCATTGACCTTCCTAACAAAAGGCCATTTATTAGCTGGCGCTCCGGCTTCGGAGCCCGGGGCCGGGAGGGGCGGCGCCGGCCTGGGAGTGCTCAGCAGGCACAGGCCAGGCCGGAGGGGAAGAGGCCTGGGTGCCGCCGGCGAGCGGGCACGTCTGCCCGGGAGGGCCAGGGGTGCAGGGTGCTCCAAACCAGCAGGAGCCTGTCTTGCAAGAGGCGATGCTGCTCTAAAACACCAACTTCCGGGCCTGCTTGCCACCACTCCCAGTTTCGCCCTCCGCAGCTCCTCACCGGCACCCTCATCGCTCAGTGCACACACTCACACCCCTGCAATGCCCAAGAAGCTTTCTCAGGCTGCTTTTCCACCGATGCCCACTCCAAACCTGGGCGGTGGCTGGGCTGCCTGGTCCCTATTTCACAGGAGAGCAAACTGAGGCCTGGCGTTCTCAGCAGAGCCGAGCAGGACCTCAGCCCGCCTTCCCCAGCCAGGTCTGCTTCCCAGGACACGGTGCAGAGGGATGCCACCATCCCATCCCTTTCCGACTGAAGGACCCGTTTCCACACTAATCATAGTGAACACGGAAAGCCCTTCTTTCTCGAGCCACAGCCCGGTCAGTGAAGCAAGGGCGAGAAAAGTACAGCAAGATAATAGGAACATGGGATTAATTTCCCTCGAACCTCCGTTTCAAGACTCAACATCTCCCTCATAAATAATTTACAACAATAAAAATGAGCTAGGGCCGCGGTTGTGCGGGACGGAGGTAAATTTAGTCCTAATGAGGGAGATCCGAGCGCTGCTCGGGAGGGAATAGGTTGATGCATGGGGCGTGCAGGCCGATCGACAGCACACACGGGCTCTGTTACCACAGCAGGTCGCAGGACCAGCTGAGGGAGGGGGCAATTTGAGGAACTTCCACCCCCCCCACCCCCCCCCACCCCCCACCCCCCCCCACCCCCCGTAGCTGCAGGAGGGTCTGTACAGTGAAAGCTAAAAGCTGACCCAGTATTTTATTAGATGATGGTGAGATTACTGAGGATCATAGGACGGAGCCAGCATGAAACTAAGCGGGTTCTCAGTAAATGCCAGGTAAGGAATGAAGGTGCTGGCGACACTGGGCCAGGAGAGAGTGCGGTGGCAACACCGACCTGGAGCTCATCCTCCTCATTGAACCTGAGAGGTCCCAATCCCCATCCCAATCTCTACCTCCAGCGCCCAGGCAGCCTCCGCCAGATCATGTGCAAGTCTAGGGGTCTGCAGAGCATGGCTCTGGGCAGCTGTTCCTGTATCTGCCCAGGAGGACTTCTCTGCAAGGCGGGAGTGCGTGCGTGCGTGCATGCGTGCACATGCCTTGCACGTACATACTAAGACTAGCTGGGGTCCCGTTAGGGTGAGGTGTGTTTTCCAAGCCAGAGGATCTTTCTAGGCCGCCGCTGAGTGGATACGATGCGACAACACGGGGCGGAAGGGGAAAACCGCTTCCTGCTGCTGCCTGCAATGCTGCGAACACGGCCTGGGGGCGGCCCCAGCTCCCAGAGCTGCGGCGCCTCGCCCAGGCTGCCATCCCAGGTTCATAGAAAAATGAACTTTAACTAGAAAGCCCTTCATACCCGCGGCACACGGCTCCCTGGTAGCTGATCAAAGAATTACCACCACCGTTTGCTTAATCCCTGGAAGTCAGCGGTGCTGGGCTTAACTGATGCTGAACATTGTTTCAGAATCAAAGGCCTGCCTCCGGGCCGTGGGCTGGGAGAAAACCAAGCTACTGTATCGCAGCTGAAAACTCAGGGGAACTTTGATATCATCTCTGTTTAATTTCCCCGGCCCTGTGAGCTGGGGGTTTATCTCATTTTATCAACTCCTGCACTGAAATCAAAACCCAGCGAACAGAGCTCAGACCTCTCTCCACAGAGGCCCCTTTGGCAGCGGGGTGGGTGCAGGCTGAGGGCTTAAAGATGGGGGCCAACAGCTGCGGGGGGCAGGGAGAAGGCCTTCAAAGGCGGAGCAGCAGGGACCCCGGCTGGGCTTCCCTGCGGCTCAGAAGCAGCGCCAGCCGGCTCTGCCCGCAGGGGCTAAGGCGTGCCTCGCACACAACTTTGGAGGAGAGTAATTTCTAACTATTGGGGAGGGCGGGGGCTGGTTAAATTGGACTACTGTAATTGAAATGACCAAAACAGTGGGTTAATTAAGTCCCCACAGAAGGATGAAACTGCTATCCGCTTGTTTGAAATCCAAAGTCAAGGGCACAAAAGACATAAAGTGTCTGCCCACAGCTACCAGCTTGCAGCTAGGGAGGGCGGTGTGTACACACTTTGCTCTCTGTGCCCAGGAGCAGGCTCTCACTGCCGAGAGACCATCCGCTTTGCCTGCTCCCCGTGGCAGTGGGGGTCTGCAGGAATCCATGCCCCTCGGTCACCCCATGGTAACAGGGACCTTTCTGCTGCTAAGCTTAAGCAGGGAGCAGAAGGACACACCCCATCCAGTCTTTACTGATGCCCACCTCCACACACACCCAGGGCCGCTCCCTGGCAGCCACGGGCAGAGACCTACCTCCTCAGGAGACCGGGAGCTGCGGCCAGGGTCCATGCAGCACCCAG